CCCCCCCCCGCTTGGCCGAGCAGCAGGCGGGCCAGCGGCGCAAGGCCCCGACCACCGCCACCGAGAGCTCCGCGCCCAGTACCTGATCAGACATGGTGACAGCGGCTTCACCGGGAGGTCTCCGCACAGCAGCGGCCTCGGGCACACAGAACCTCGCTCCGGGGTTTACAAATCCGTCTCCTTTCCCTACAGCACAACACCGCGGCTGCAGGGACTTCCGCTTACGCCCCGCGTCACTTCCGCCACGCGCACAGGGGCGGGATGTGGAAGAGAGGAAAAGGGCGGCGGGAAAGCCAGTGGGGGAGTGGCCTGGGGCGGGCGGGCACGAGAAACGGCTTTGTGGGGCCGAAGGAGGGAATTGCGGCTTGCTCCGCGCCCCGGGAACTAGCAGCCTCCGCACCTCGGACCGGACTTCCACCTCCCAGCCGAGAGAAGACCCCAGGGCTTCACGTCTGGACGTGGGTAGCCGTCGCCACGGCCTTCGGAACCTGGACGCGTCTTTGTCTCCTCCCCGCGTGCTCTCCGCTCTGCCCAAGCGTAGACAGCCTTACCCCGGAGCCCACACTTTGTTTACCCGGACTCCCGCCCCCGCCAAACACGTGACCTTGATTGACAGCAACAGCAAAAGCAACCACTCGGACAGTCCTTTCTTTTTTTCCTTTTAACGGTCGTGGGGTTTAAACTCAGGTCCTGGGCGCTGTTCCTGAGTGCTTTTGCTCAAGGTTACCGCTGTATCACTTAACCACTGCTCCCTTTGTGGCTTCTTGGTGGTTAAATGGAGATGGACTTTCCTGCCCAGACTGACTTTGAACTGCAATCCTTAAATCCCAGCTTCTTTAACTTGAGATTACAGGCCTGAGCCACTGGGTCTGTAGCTCATTAGACACAAAGTTGATGGATAGATATAAAGCGGTTTTAGTCGTTGAATCAGTCCTATTGAGCTAAAGAGATAACTTTCTCAAAATAAAATGAACTGGCACACTTCAACTAGAATGCCAAGACAATTCAATATTGAAAGGACAGTCTTCAATAATTAGTACTGAGAATAATGGACATCTTTATGCAAAAGAATGAATTTAGATCCCTACCTTAAAGGCAAGATTCGTTAAAAGGGACTAAAGGTATATACTAAGAGCTAGAACAAAACTCTTAGAAAACAGACATAAATCTTTATGACTTGCCTCTCTCTGTGCTTTTGTTTTTCTTGCTTTTGTTTCGTTTTTTAGTTACCTTTTTGAAACATACCTCCATGTACTCACAGCCCTCCCCAAATGCTAGGATTACAGATTTGATCCCCGGCCTCAGATTTTGGTTACCTAATGGTTTATTAAGATATTAAAAGCAACTAGGGCTGGAAATGTGCCTTAGTGGTAGAGTGCTTGCGTGTCTAGCATGCATGAAGCCCTGAGTTCAATTCCTCAGCACCACATAAACAGAAAAAGCCCCAAGTGGCACTGTGGGTCAAGTGGTAGAGTGCTAACCTTGAGCAAAATAAAATCAAGGACAGTACACATGCCCTGAGTTCAAGTCCCAGGACTGACAAAACTTTTAAAAAAAGCAACCAAAGAAAAATCTGATCAAAATTTAAACTTACAGCTGGGTACCAGTGGCTCACACCTGTAATCCTAGCTACTCAGGAGGCTGAGATCTGAGTATCGCTGTTCAAAGCTAGGGAGCAAAGTCCGTGAGTCTCTTGTCTCCAGTTAACCACCAGAAAACTGGAAGTGGGGCTGTGGCTCAAGTGGTAGAGCCCTTGCCTTGAGCTGAAGAGCTGAGGGACAGAACCCAGGCCCAGACTTCAAGCCCCATAACCAACAAAAAAGAAAGCAATAAATGTACATACATATATGTATATAGTGTATATTATATATAGTAATTATATATATGTATACACACACACAACCACACTTGTAATTCAAAAACTTTTAGTAAAATGACAAGGAGGTACTAATTGCCAGAAGCCAATGTCTCATGTTTATAATCCTATTTACTCAGGAAGCAGAGATGTAGGGCTAGAATTTTGGAACAAGCCTGATTAGATAAATCTGATTCTTTCTAAGTAGTCAGTGAAAACCTGGAGATGTGTCTCAAGTGGTAAAGTGCCAATATTGAGTGAAAAAGCTGAGCATGAGTGTAAGGCCCTGAGTTCATACCCTAGGAACAAACATCATCAAAAACAAAGCAGTTACATATTTTGCACTAATAGGATAGCTATTAAAAATATGTGTTGGGCTGGAAAGGTGGCTCAGTGGTAGAGCGCTTGCCTTGCATGCCTGAGGCCCTGGGTTCAATTCCTCAGCACCACATAAGCAAAAAGAAAAAAGCGGGAGGGAAGTGGCTCTGTGGCTCAAGTGGTAGAGCGCTAGCCTTGAGCTGAAGAGCTGAGGGACAGTGCCCAGGCCCAGAGTTCAGGCCCACGACCGGACCAAAAAAATAAAATAAAATAAAAATATGTGTTAACTAGGTGCTGGTAGCTCATACCTATAATCCTAGCTACTCACGAGGTTAAGATCTGAAGATTATGGTTCAAAGCCAGTCCGGGCAAGAAAGTCTGTGAGACTCTTATCTCCAATAAATCACCAGAAAACCAGAAGTGTGCTGGTGGTAGAGTGCTAGCCTTGAGCTGAAGAGCTCAGGGACAGCGCCCAGGCCCAGAGTTCAAGCCCCATATGGACAAACAGAAAAAAAAAAAGAATCTCAAGGACAGCTGAAGCCTCAGGACCAACAACAACAACAAAAAAAGAAGTTTCAAGCAGAAGGGAACTAGAAGGAGAAGGGGGCAGGAAAAGGAAATATGGAGTGAATATGTTCAAAGTGTGATACAGATGAATGTGTGGGTGTTATGAGAATGCCACAATGCAATCCATTATTTTTATCTATCATGTTCTTTTTTTTTATTTTTTTATTTTTGAGAGACGGGATGTGGTGTGTGGAGTTAGGGTTTGGTGGAGGAGAGATGGGGTATGGTGTGGGGGGTAAGGTTTGGTGGAGGAGAGACGGGGTGTGGTGGAGAGCAGGGTGGAGGGTTGGGGGGTGGGGGGTTGCGTCCTCATCCCCAGTCCCAGGGTAGAGAACACAGCACAGGACAGAGCAGAAGAGCAGCCCAGCTTTCCCTGGAGTGACCAGGCTGGCAGACAAAGGACAAAGGCTTCTTGAGGGGGGAGGGGGGAAGGAGGCAAGGGGGGAAAGAAAGGGGAAGGAAGGAGGGAAGGAAAAGGAAGGAAGGAAGGAAAGAAGGACGAAGGAAGGGGAAGGAAAGGAGGAAGGGAAAGAAGGAAGAAGCGCAATCCATTATTTTCTACAATGAATATATACTGGTTTTGCAGGTTTCAGAAAATTATGTTAAGTGAGGTAAGCTAAGCTCAGAAAGACATACAGCATATACTTTCTCTCATATGTGGAAGCTAGATCTAAGAACTGGACATGATAACTTATACAGGCTTTATACATTTACACACAAACTGACTAAAGGAGAATACACTTAGGGGAGGAACCAAAAGAATAACTCCTCTGATTCTAAAATAATATTTATCAAAACAAATTCTAAGCCAGGTGCCACTCGTGTAATCCTAGATATTCAGGAGGCTAAGATCTGAGGATCAAGGTTCAAAACCAGCCTGGGCAGCAAAGTCCATAAGACTTTTTTTTTTTTTTTGGTTGGTTGTGAGGCTTGAACTCTAGGCCTGGGTGCTGTCCCTCAGCTCTTCAGCTTAAGGCTAGCATTCTGCCACTTGAGCCACAGCACCCACTTCCAGCTTTTTCTGTTTATATGGTGCTGAGGAATCGAACCCAAGGCCTCATTAATGGAAGGCAAGCACTCTACCACTAACCCAAGGCCTCATTAATGGAAGGCAAGCACTCTACCACTGAGGCACCTTCACAGCCTGTCCGTTGAGACTAGTATCTCCAATAAACCACCATAAAACTGGAAGTGGCATTGTGGCTCAAATGGTAAAGTACTAACCTTGAGTTGAAGAGCTGAGGGGCATCACTCAGGCCCAGAGTTCGAAGTCCATGACAGGCAAGGAAAAAAAAAATTTCTAAGAAATGGGAACATGTTGGGTTGGGATTTTTTTGGTTGTTGTTTCAGTGAGTTTTGTTGTTGTTGTTGATATTTGGGAGGGACAAAATAAGCACAAGAATGGAGAGAGGAAGAATTGAACAAACGCAGTCATGGTATTCAATATACTCTATATAAAAATAAATAAACTGTGCAACTTGTAAGCAGAGACAGGAGGAGGGAAATGGAGGCAAGTGAAGGAGGGGGGACATTGTACTCATGGAATTGTAACCCCTTTGAACAAATCCTTAATAATAACAATTTTTTAAATACCTTTATAAAAAGAATATTTACAGTGCAGGAAATAAATCCATAAGAAGCTAAAACAGGCCAGGCACTGGTGGCTCATCCTGTAATCCTAGCTACTCAAGAGGCTGAGACCTGAGGATTGCAATTCAAACCCAGCCCAAGCATGAAAATCTATGAGATTCTTTTTTTTTTTTTAAGGAAAGAGATTCTTTTTTTGATTACTTTATTGTTGTTTGTGGGTCCATGGGGCCTGAACTCTGGGCCTGGGCGCTATCCCCCAGCTCTTCAGCTCAAGGCTAGCGCTCTACCACTTGAGCCATAGCGCCACTTCCGGCTTTTTTCTTTTTGTTTATGTGGTGCTGAAGAATCGAACCCAGGGCCTCAGGCATGCAAGGCAAGAGCTCTACCACTGAGCCACCTTCCCAGCCCATTCTGGGTTTTTTTTGTTTATGTGGTGCTGAAGAATCGAACCCAGGGCCTCATGCATGTGAGGCAAGCACTCTACCATTGAGCCAACTTCCCAGCCCCTCCATGGGGTTCTTATCTCCAATTAACCACCAAAAACCAGAAGTGGTGCTGTAGCTCAAGTGGTAGAGCACTTACCTTGAGCTGAAGAGCTCAGAGACATCTCCCAGGCCCAGAGTTCAAGCCCCATGACTGACAAAAAAAGAAAAAAAAAAGAAAAGAAAAAGCAGCAGCAGTTAAAAAGAAAGTCACCCATGGCCATAAGCAAGTTGGATATGTTCTTCTAGGTCCTATGAATATACACTAATTTTTAAATGCTTTTAAAGTTCTATATAAATAGTTATCTGTGCTACATATTAGACAGTAAATGTTTTGAATCTTGAGTACATAAAATAACATGAACTATTTTTTTAAGCGGGAGTGGAGAGGTTGGAGAGGGAGGGTTTCAAGATTCTAG